AAGAAAAATGAGCAAAAGAAACGAAAAAGAAAGTATTGGGAGCATATATCCATGTAGTAGGTCAATCTAGGCAGTAACCGCAGAGAACCAGTATTTCGAGTGACAAAGTAGCGAAAAATCATGCGAAATTTCCACTGTTATAAATCTGGTGGTCGAAGATGTCAGCAATTGCGACTTCATAGGTTTTGAAGAGCAAGTGTTGTTCTACCAGATAGTGGAAGAATCGAGTCGATTTGAGAAGTGGCCGCCGAGAACGAGAATCTTAAAAAATTAAGCGATTTTAGGTTGCTTAGTGACAGCTGACGTTTAAACTCCTATAAATCTGGAATGTGAAAATACGCAATGTTGCGACTTCATAGGTTTTGTGGAGTAAGGATTGCTCTACCGGAGTATGCCTTAGCCGTACGGATCCATTGAAATAGCGCCGAGATCCAGGGTCTTGAAAAAGCAGGTAAAAAACCGCTTTTTGAACTTCAACAGCTCATAACTTCTTCAGAATTGCATGAATCATGTTGCGACTTCATAGGTTTGATTCTTCTCATCAAGAGCTTTCAGATGATGTATAGTATGTGGGGGTCCAATGATTTTTGCGGCTCTAACCCAGGGTGGAGACTTTTCACCCCAAAGTCTCCACCTCGCCCATGTTAATGTATTGGCCGGAGACCGCCAGTGGAGACTTTGGGGTGAAAAGCCTCCACCCCCGGGCATATGCCGTGAAAGGCGCGAATCTCCCACATATTATATATCATCTGAAAGCTCTTGATGAGAAGAATCAAACCTATGAAGTCGCAACATGATTCATGCAATTCTGTAGAATTTATGAGCTGTTGAAGTTCAAAAAGCGGTTTTTTACCTGCTGTTTCAAGACCCTGGATCTCGGCGCTATTTCAATGGATCGGTACGGCTAAGGCATACTCCGGTAGAGTAATCCTTACTCCACAAAACCTATAAAGTCGCAACATTGCATATTTTCACATTCCAGATTTATAGGAGTTTAAACGTCAGCTGTCACTAAGCAACCTAAAATCGCTTAATTTTTTAAAATTCTCGCTCTCGGCGAGTACTGCTCAGATCGATCTAATCCTTTCACTGACTGGTAGAACAACACTAGCCCTTCAAAACCTATGAAGTCGCAGTTGCTGACATCTTCAACCATCAGATTTATAACAGTGGAAATTTCGCATGATTTTTCGCTATTTTATTATTTGAAATTCTGGTTCTCGGTGATTACTGCCTGGATCGACCTACTTTATTCGCAGTACGTTATAACAAAATCTACTTAATGAAATATGTAAAGTCTAACTGGGATTTATTTACAAATAGGCCATTTGAATAACATATTTATTTCTTTTTATTTTATTTTTATGCCGCTATACTCATCGTATTTGTGGCCCTAAAGAGGGCCGTTAGGTCACACTTGTTGGCCCTCAAGGAGACCGTTGGGTCAGAGTTCTTCAATTATCCGAAGTCCCCCCCCCCCGGTCGACGTTTTTGGGAGGTGAGTGTCCGGCACTACCACCTTCACTTTTGGCCGGCCAGTGGTAGCTGGAACCACCTTCACTTTTGGGGGGCCCGGCTCCACCTATCGCACCTCTGGTCCAAACAGATCCAAGCAGTTCACCTTCAGCCTTACATTTAAGGTACAACGGTTTGCCACCGGCGCAGTTAATGACTGCTTTTCGGTGAAGAAAAGTTAAATAGCGCTTAGAAGACGTTGCAGCAGATGAATAAAATCTTTGTAAGCAGCAAATCGAATAAAAGCTCTAAACAAAATTTTACACATATCCGTGCAGAATGAGCTCTTAAATTATACCTGCCGTATTGCTGCAGCACTCAACAAAATGTGGCCTCTGGAATCAGCACAGTGAATAATCGATCTACACTGAACTTAGAAAAACGTGAAATTGACTGCATACCGTATATCTACTTTACACCAAGCAGAAGTGCGCCTCGCCAAACTGAGTTTTCAAGTGGGGATTCATATTAAAATGCGACGCGAATTTCGACAACGGCGTCGCCGAAATTAGGTCGCCTGAGTCCAGCAGCCGCCGCCTTCAAATTCCGAGCGGTATGTACATTGCACTGCACGCACGGCATTCCACGATATTTGCTTCGCATGCGATTTGCCAGCCATTCCCCTTTGTCTTCTTGCATTTTTAGGACCCGTCATACTTCGCCGAGAAAAGCCCAGTTTTACACATATCCGTGCAGAGTGAGCTCTTAAATTAGAGGGTGGTGCAGGAGGAACCAAAGGCCTGCCGCCTGTAGCCGTAGGAGATAATTAGGAGCGCGAGCGCTATGGAGAATACTTTGGCAAGGGTCCAAGAAAACTTGGCGAAGATATCCCTTCGGAACAAGTCTTCATAACTTTGCCTGGAGATGGCCTTGAAAGTTTTGAAAAACAGATTTATAATGCAAATTGGCAGGCACATTCACTAGGCCTAGAAGTAAGTGAAAATTTGGTATTGTAATGGTAAGAAAAGTTAACTTTTCTTATAGAAACTTTTTGTTTTATGAATTTTGAAATTATAGATTGTTGAACACCGGGATTTTCATTCAAATTCATTTTTTTCTTCAAAATAAAGGATTATTTTGCATTTTGATTCATCGAACCAAAGCAATCAAAATGTCATGAGGACACATCTGGAGGCTTATATCAAGATGCAATTGAAGTTTGTCTCATAACTTCAAACCTATTCTAATTTCAAATTTTGACACTAGAGATTTCAAAGGTTTGCCATTGAAACTATGTCGGTAATCCTCTTGAGGTTATACACATTAGGAAAAGTTCATCAATTTATCACATGCAACAACTTAGTTAACATTATTTCCTGATTATCACTCCCTACTTTCAACTTCCCATACAAAAATTTCTCTAAAAAATTCACTTAAAATCTTACACACAGCAATGAACCTGAAATTCTTCAGGAATTTTGAAGGCTCACTCTTTGGTAAAAATAGGACTCGTGAGACAGAGTAGTTTCTCTATCAGGTAGGCGTTTTACCAAAAAAATGCATTTTTCAATAGTGATTCCAAATGTGTCCTTCGTATACTTGAATGTTAATTCTAAGAAGAGTTATAAGAGTTTGTTTCTAATGGATGTCCTCTCCTAATTTTCCTGGATCCTTGCCAAAATTTTCTCCTCAGCGCTCGCGCTCCTAATTATCTCCTGCGGCTATAGGCGGCAGGCCTTTGGTTCCTCCTGCACCGCATCCCTTAAATTATACCCACTCTATTTCTGCAGTGCTCAACACAATGTGCAGGTAGCCTCTGAAATCAGCACACTGAATGATCCATTTACACTAAAATTCCAAGAAAAAAAAACCTATATCCCACAACTAGGCACATCTATATACTGGAAGACGCGCCTCGCCGAGCTGAGTTAAATGGTACTCTTATATATAGAATTCATAAATTTTGGATCAAGATAAGGTCTTTTTTATAAAAAAGTTAGGCGTTGCGCGGCAAAGTTAGGCGCCAAATGCCGCTTTTCCGCCTAACTTTGTCGCGCGACGCGGCGTTTGTCACCCAACTGCGGCGGCGCCGCGTGAGTTAAGTGCCGCCGCGACTTTTTTCACAAATTACGGGTGTAGACGAGTTTTCGAGCCGCAGAAATTGAGTTCTAATGCCCGAAAAGCTCTGTCGCGTGCTCAGCACGTCGCTTGTACAACGATAGACTCGTGCGCATAGCTTGTACGTCATCGCAACTCTGAGGATTCTGGTTCCGCTTTGGACGCCTTTTTTCCTAAAATGAGTGGTGCACTCCGTCTGATCATGACTCACTCTAACCACCTTGATCGAGCGGAAAACCGCTCAAAACTTCAAAATCCTACTATTCCTGACAGTTTAGTAAGATTTGACTTGATGAGGAGTTCAATGCAGTGAAATCTGAAGTCTTGTGAGATACACTGCGCATAACCGAACTGCAGACAAAGCGTTCTAACTTTAGTGCGACAAATACGTCTTTGCAAAAAAAACCTGACAGCTTCTGCATGAGTACGTCGCCATGCAGACAAGGTGTCAACTTCAAACCAAAAGTTTTCGCGCGTCAGAAGCGTGCTTACACCTCGGTAAGATGAGGGCTCGCTTATCAAGATTGGCGACTACGCAATTTTCAGTTCAGCACTTTTCACATCGTTCATTGCAAAGGCCAAACAAATCCTAGGACCTTCATCCGAGTCAAACAAGTGCTTCAAAATTCAATGAAAAAGCAGTTTTTTTGCAAATAATGTGACTTATTGTGCATTTTAGAGCAGAAAATGCAGTATGAATCTTCTTTTTGAAAGGCGACTCCTTCCAAGTGTAACAAATGTTTCATATTTTGATGTTGTATATGTACAAAAAATTTGAGGTTCACAAAACGTAGTACGGATTGAAAATGAGAGTGTGGCTTTATAGCTGTGACCAGCCTTTAAAACCCGTTTTTTCAAATTTTTTAATTTTTCTCCGGCCAAAATCAATAAAAGGGAGCCGTTCTGGTCGGTGGTGTGACGTTAGTTTGCGCACAAAATAGTGGTTTTTCAGACAATTACGAGCAAGAGAGAGCAAATTACAGTGATTTTTAGGGTGGCTTTATAGCTATGGCCAGCACTGTATGAACGCTTAATGCTGCATGCTTTTAGAAGGAGTTCTAATTTTTGCCCATTTAGAATTTTTTTGGAATTTTTTCCAAACCATGAAGATTGAAGCTTCAATTTTTCAAATACCATCTTTAGAACTTGCTTTGCTTTATGGACTGATTTGTTTCGTAAGCTTTAATATTATCTCTGCCGCTTTCGGATAAGGAACAGGCGATGAATTTGCAACCTGGTAAACGATTGATCAACCTAGTAATTTGTTACAAAATCGTCATATAATCTTGCATAAATTTTACGGAAGAAATTATATTTTTATTTTATTTTTAAGGCTACCGAGTTTCGCGTGAAAGCAATAGATAGAATTTCTTATAAAACAATTTATTAATGAATTATTATTCAATAAACGAACAATATGTAAAATGCTCTCCTCCATTACAAGGGGATCTGTCTTCTTGCAAAACTCTACATATCAATTCTAGCTGATGGTCAACAATCATACAAATTTGCACTTCAAAGGGAGAAATCTCGTTTGACATAGGGGTGCACATTATGTAGAAGCAAGGGCACAAAATCGGATGGCAATAAAAAATAAATGAAATAGAACATTTGGCCAAATAGGTTGAAAAATCAGTAACATAAGAAAAAGAAAAGAAAACAAAGAAACACAAAACATATGATACATACAAAGTTGTCAGTGCCTAGTGCAAAAATTCAGCTTCTGCACCTTAGCGCACACCAAACAAGAGGAAATAATCTCGCAAATTACACATGAATTAAAAATTTACAAAAATTAAGAATATGACAAGACAGATTAACCATATGCTACCAGTATGCGACGACGAATTATGACGATAACCGACCGTTATTAAGTTTGTAATCTCGGCGACACGCTTTTCTTCCAATTTTTGAACTTATTGAAAATGCAGGTAGGCGATAATGTAGAGCATTTTCCTAAAATCAAAGTATTAGACACTTTTGCTCTTCATAAATTACATCGAATTTCAGAGAATGAAGGTCATTAACAAGACCTCGAGCTCTTCTTGCGCGATTTTGCAATTATCTTCAATTGACAAGGGGGGGGGGGGGGAAGAGTCAAAAATGTGGGTCAGATTTCTTGTAGGTATTAGATAATAAGCTTCAACCAAGCCATCGCTCATGCAACCGCTCGTTTGCTTCAATCTAGGCCAAGAAATTCAACGTGAAACTCTCGCCCAGACCGTACTCTCAAACCGACCCGACCAATCAGTGTCTCGATAGAAAGTATGGTCTGGGCGATAGCATAAAGTTGGATTCCTCGTTCAATAATGAATCATATGATTTGGTTTTTGAACAAAGGCTTATTTGAAGTATTTCGATCAGTTTCCATATAAGACACCCTGATATCCAGATTTGCACCTCAGATAAAACTACCCTGACTAGAAAGAAAATTTCCAATCAATTCTCTCAGAGAAGACAATACTATCAAGGAAAGAAATTTTCCATACCTGAATTGACGTTTTCTGGCAGTGCCTTCTTCTTTCTTTGCGAGTAACGACGAATCGCTGCATGAAAATCGTCTTCGATACGTGGTGATGGCTAAAAAAATCACATAACCTAGGGTAGATCAAACTTCTACTCAGATAATCTCACCTTTTCAACGGAAGACGTATTCGGTGCATAGGCATCTTTTAGTTCCGCGACAAGGCTCACAAGCAGATCATCAACGTCATGGTCCAGCGCAACAGAGATTTCAAGTGGTTCGAAACCAAAATGGGCCGATGCTGTTCGAACTTCTGGAAATCAAGATCATAACTGGAAAATCTATTTCGAAATTGCTCTATTAAAAAAGTTGCATCTTGATGAAATCACTTGAAAAAAAATCTTCCAAAAATCTCAAGAAATCGAATTCAACCATAGCTATGCCAGCACAGATATAGTATGACAATTTGTCAGTCCTCCCCCCCCCCTCCCTGCAAGACGGTCTGATTCTCATTTTTAGTTCTTCTACTCTTAAACACTCTTAGATGCACTATTCTGCTAGCAAATCGTTTCAATTTCCTGTCATTAACAAGATGAATTTTGCTTTGAATGAATTTTCTTAAGAATTTCCCCTTTTTCAACAACTCGAATGACGACTGTTTCCATAAAAAATAACAGTTTGAAGAAAGTGGGGTAAGAACACACAAACGTACCATTCTTAGTCACTGTTCGTTTTCGTTCCAAATCTGCTTTGTTTCCAGCAACTATTATGGGATAATTTCGGCACTGACTCGAATCTCTGATCATCTAGAAGGTAAAATGTTAGGAAAGATCAAAATTCCATGAGAAATTTTAACGTAGGGAACAAAGGAGAAAAAAGAGGGTGTAGAGCATTCTTTTGCTGTTTTTGTTTTGAAAGCTTTTACGTTTATATCACACTGGATAATGATTTGGGCACTTTCAAAACAAAATCAAAGTGCAAAACGTGCTTATCCTTTCATGAGAAGAAACTAACTTTTCTATGAAACTTTTCCTAAAGCTCTTTAATCATCAATTTATGACATAACTGACAGATTCAGTCCTTGACCAAGCGGCAAAAACTATAGAAATTTCTTTCCCTACGCCTAAAAACTCAAAAAATTTGATTACCTCAATTGCCATCGTCGCTTGTTTCCAGCTTCTTCTCGAATCAATGCTATAAACAACGACAAATGCATCCACTTCATCTGTGAGCCATGTGGTATCAGCCTGAAACAATTAAATCAAAGCTCGGAGCTCAGAACTTCCTAGCCAGAATTTATGGCAATGCCCTTTCGTTCTCGAATTCAAGCTATGGACTCGTACAGCTGTTCAGCAATGTGTAAGCCTTCAATCACTCGCGCGAAAAAACGCAACACTGAAGCTAAACGGAAAGAGATGTCATCAATTTTAATGAGAAAAACTTGAGAAAGCAGATGAAAATAGGTCCCAAGTGTCTTGGTTTGATGGGAATGGATCAAAAAGAGCATTTTTTGTTAGGAATCATCGTTCGCAATAAATTCGTGGATAAAAGCTTCCAAAACTTAAGATTCTTGAACCCTAGTAAGTCCAATATAGATGGTATAAAAGCTCGAAAATCTTGACGTACTGAAAAAACTAAAAGATTAATCTTCTGGGAAGTAGTGTAAACAAAGTTGAACGATTTGATGACTGACAGCTGTTAGCTTATGCGAGACGACAAAATCTTAGCCTTGAGTCAGAACTATACTAGTCTATAATAGCTATAAATAAATTGTCACACCTGATAAATTTTGCTCAAGAAAAGTTTTCAAGCAAAAAACATGCCTTGTGCGCTCTGACGGAATAGTATATTTGAACAAGATCGGTAAAAAAAACTTTACAAAGTAGAAAATTTACAAGTGGCTTTGACAATGCTTGACAATCTATCATTTTTGCAACACTCATAAAGCTCTTATATGAGATAATTCTAAGTATGAAAAATTTGACTGGCACCTTTTTAGCTTAGTTATACGGCCGATGATGCTTCAGCGTTTGAGGCTTTATAAAAAATGATTTTTTTCAAGTTGGGGTTTTTGAAAGAGGGCCTTACCCAAAGATGTGGTCATGACATACCCGAAGTAAACTTTGTCTCATTTGGTAGGTCTCAAAAAATGTACGAGCCAAAAAAATTGTGGAAAGGACCTCTTTTGTTAAAATATGTAATAGCCTGCCTCCTTTGTTTTTCTTTTATGATTGCGTGAAGAAATGAAGTTTCCAAATACCCTAGATAGATGCTGAAAAGTAGAAACTCTATGTCCCAAGAGGAGAAGTTTACAAACTGTCAGAATAAAATGCCAAGCTGTCAATTGGTTAAAAAGTGAATGTACTGACTGAGAAGTGAAAAAAGACATTCAATAGAAAGAAAGAAAAAACAGTCAAAGTTATTTCCAAAGCATGAAATCTGAGCTTGCCAAATGCATTGAAAACGTAAATTCTTGAGACTTCAGTCAACGCTCTACTAGGTTGATGCACAACTCTTGCACCAAAAAATAGAAGAAAAATGTTCTAAAAATGCTCAAACAAACTAATCAACTTTCAGAATATGCTCTTTAGTACATCAGGAGTAGTAATTTACAGTACATTTTAGAAATTCTATGAAACAAAATTAGTGTGTTAATTTTGAAAAATCGAAATTTATAACTAATCGCAGAGACATCTGATCACTACCAAGTTGTCTTAACCAAAAAGAACCAAGAATAATTTTGAGTTTGGCTAAACGTTTTAGCAATTTTATGACCACTCCCCCCCCCCCCCTCCCTCCAACATTTTGCTGGAGATAAAGTGCGATCGAACTCACCATGTCATTCTCGAAAAATATCAGGTCAAGCTCTTGTCCTCCGAGGCTAATCGAGACAGTGTTTTCGTAATCTTCTGTAATATTGACATAGAAGCTGGTGTGAAAAATGTGCAAATATTACGACTCACGTATTTCATCGGCAAAAGCGTTTTTGTATTCTGAAGTGATAAGCTGGCCGATCAACGACGACTTCCCTGTGCCTGTGTCACCAACGACGTAGACCTAAACTCAAAAACACTGACTAGAAGAAAAGGATCATTATGATAGAATGGCCAAGAAAATGTAAAGGTTTGAAAAGGCAATATTTGCATGCAAAAATCTCGAAGATTTTACGGTGACAGACGCTACGATAGACTGCTTTGAATTAAAGAAATCAAATATTATTTACAAACTTGCATTTAGATACTTACATTATATATCAAAGTTGGTCGCACAATCATCATTTTTGGGTGTTTGGGGGGCGGGAGGGGGAAGCTACTTTCTTCTAGAGGGGCGCAAAATGTTGTTTTCTACCCCGAAATCTAGTAGAGGGTATGGCAACAGAATTTCATTAACAATTTTCTAAAAATTGTTAAATATTCTGGATCTATTTCAAAGCCTACAACTTCAAAAATCTTGCGCTTCGCCCCCCCCCCCCCTCCGCCACAGCGTATAAAAATATGCGAGTGACTTCTTTGTACTTGCATATGATTGGAGATTATTGAATGGTTTCTAAAAATTCCAGAACCATCCCAAAAAAATTTGCGAGCGTGTAGCTGACGCCATGCACCATTATTTTAAAAAAATTTGTCTCTCAAACAGAGATTTGGGTACGCCCCTGACTATTAGATACATGATTGTCCATTATAGTGTGTTGATATTCACTTGTAAATAACTTTAATCACCCAGATATTTTTGGAGGGCGTGGCTGACGTGATGACAGCCCTTCATTTGCAAGAAAATCTCTCCCTTCTCACGAAAAAAATCACCACACTAATCCAATAACTACCCGTTGGGTTTTATCATAATCTTTTTGACAAAAATATGGGATACACTCATTAAATCATATCGCAAGATAATTTCCTCATATTGTTTGTGGTAGAACTTCACTAAATGGTTCGGTCCCTTCCGCCCTCCGCACCCCCCCCCCCTTTTTTTCCTAGCTTATAGACAAAAAATCTTTGCCCGACAAGAAACACGGAAGTCTTTCACAAACCTTGTACGCTTTGTGACTAGTTGATGGATCATCAGTCGCGGCTGAAGCTGCTTCCCGTCGCGATTCTTCGCTAGACGAAACACTCTCGCTGCGGGAGTCTCGAGCCGAGTCGGATCCGGATATTAGATAAGGCGAAGGTGATTTGTCGCCTATAAGGAAATTTATTCCGAAATGTAATGAAATTTCCACTGACGTGTATGACTCACTTTTCACAGTGACTTCACTTCGTTTTCTTCGGAATGAATCGCCTCGGGATACGACCGCTCCTTTTTCGTCGATTTTGAATTGGCGGACTCTGAAAATTAGAATCATAGTTCGTGGAAGAAATTCTGAATTAACTACACTATCACTAATCCCAATTTTTTGCAAAAAAATTAGGACATGTTCCAAAATGACTTTATGTGCAAAGAAATTAGAACAGGGCCTAGTCAAATCTGAGAACTTGGGTTTCTTGTGTGAGAACGGAGGGGAAGATCTCAACTAAGCCTTAGTGTAAGCGGCATTTCATATAGATAATTTAACAGAGAAATTCATCTCTGAACTTCAGCCTAGACCGTATCTTCTACCGCATCCGAGAGCGCTGCTTGGTCCGCTCGGATACGAATGGGCGGAAGTTTGGTGCTGCATTTCAAATTTTGTTCAATATAATCCTTCATAATCTTCTACGCAGCAAAAGGAGTGAACTCTTTATCTCCTTGCCATACGGTACTGGAGGAGCTCGCGTCGAGATAATACGGTATGGTCGAGACTTTGAAATGGTTTTTTAAACTACCATTGAATTTTATGAGCTGCCACTTAGGAACTGGCTAGCTGAGGATTCCCATTTACTTCCCACAAGAAAAACAATTACAAATTCTAGCTTTTCTTTTCAAATTAAAAAAAAAATTTCTTACCTCTTGTACTCGTCGCCCAAAGGTAGTCTCAAAAACTTCTCGTCAAGCTCCGTTGCTGGTTTTGGTTCTGGCCATACGTCCGTTCTTGGCTCTTGGATACGCCTGAATAGCCAGCTTGGACGGAGCACATATCTTTTGTAGAATATGAGTCTTGATGGGAATTGATCTGCGTTCAATGATTTAGACCTATAATCAGAATTTCTGACACATTCGAGCCATAGCTCGAAAAAACGGCCAAAGTCTGCCTTGCGTCTACTACTTCAAATCTTCCAGCCTGAATTTTCTGCGCAGCTTTTATTTGGTTGAACTGATTTTGTACAAATTTGAATAAAATTGCGCTATATGGCTGAACAAGCCCAAAAGCTCAGAATCAAAATCACGATTTTGTCAAAGCTGTATAGGCCAATCGACATGTTAGTTACGGAGTTAAAATCTTCGAAACAGTAAGCCTTTTCTTGCGAATTACGGTAGTTGTACAGTTAGGAGCTACCAGAATCAGTTAAAAACTTGCACAAGAGAATTTGACATAATAATCCCAAGTAACATAAATGTTTTGTAGGGTTGGTACTCGACACAGTTTCTACCTTGATACCGTTCCTACCGTATATATACTCTGTCACAGCACAGCATACTGTATATCAATCGCATCATCGTATGGGAGTCTCATAGAATGAAATCAGGCGGATTGGTTTTGGTTTTCCTGATCAGCATGACGAAGAAAAGCCGTATATCAAATTTGCTCGAAACGCATAATTTCAAAAACTAGACGTCCTAGTAGCCGAATAGCGCAGAAAAAAACGAAACCAATTTTATGATTTTATACTTCTGACTATTCATAACTCTTAAAGCATAAATACCTGTGTAAACTGCATCGCCTTGAAATCGTCGGTGTACTTCTTCGTCTCTCATTTGGCACATCTTCAAAAGCAGTCTTCTTCACTTCCACCAAGGGGCGAGGACGATGTTTGAATGATTGTGATCTCAATGGTTGTCGCATGTCTGGTGACAGGAAACCGTTGCTGAAAAGGAAGTCGAATAAGTAAAAGCTGCAAATTTAAAAAAAGCTAGGTGAAACACGGCCTTGCAGAAAGAAGAAAATAGTAAGAAAGATGAGAATTACAGACACTATATCAAAATTCCTAAGCCAGATAAAAAATTTCTGTAGCTCCTGCGGAACCCTTCAAGAAGGAAGAGAAATACGGACGAACTAGGCAACTGCAAATTGTGTAGATTTATTGAAAAGATCCATTTATAACTTTACTAACATGATATTTCATACTTCATGCTTGCACTCTTGTTGATATGAGCTTTATCTGTGAAATTAAACTATTTAGAGTTAACATTTCTACAAGGACTTATTTTAGAACCGCCTCGAAGCTAAAGATTCACAGAAAGAAAGATAAGCAAGTCCCAGAGACCAAAATGTTCACAGCAAAGAACACATTTCTATGAAACGAATCCCCAGAATTGAAGCCATATGTCAACAACCAGACCTTTAAAGAGCAATCTCTAGCGCAAAGATTAAGAACACCCTCAAAAATCAAACGACTAGAGTATATCCAGCAATTCGCTCATCATTTTGAAAAGGCAGTAAGCAATTTTCCCGATTGAAAAAATTGAGCCCTGAATGCAAAATAGACAAAAATGCATGAATCATAGAAAAATGTTATAACATTGTAGTAAAGAGCGTCATTTGGTAAACAAAAGTATAGGATGAGAAAAAGAAAGAAAAAAAGATCACGTAAAGACTTAAGACCTTCACGATAAGACAACCTCAACAAATGTCCTTGCCTAATTTCGAAATACCCGTGTGCAAACCACTTCCGGTGAAGAAATGCCCCCAACATACGTCATCGTGTAAGAAATTTTTTACGAAAAGCACTATTTGATGATGCATGGCTTCCATTTCGTAAAAGTGCAGGTCGAAAAAAATGGTTCTTCCAGGCGCTAGAGGGCAAATCCCTTGCCCTTTCCCATAATAGCAACGATTAAGCAGAAATTGGACAGGTTCAGCGAGGATGACATTTTCAGATAAAATTAGGATTTCGGAACCAAGGAAAAAAGGACCTGGGGTGGCTGAAACATGAAAAGGAGCGCGAATTTGTGACCGAGGACATCGAGAAAGCTATCAATTCTATAATCAAAACAATTCCGGCGAAAGTAGGTGGAAAGTACTATTACGAGGTTATATAGTACAATCCCAGCTTGCTTGATAGGAAAAATTACCCAAGCAGGGATAACAACCAAAGCCCGGAAAAATCTAATTTATGGTCATTCAATTATGGTAAGATGCCCCGAAAATGCATTATGGAATGTAAAGTACAAACTAGCTCGGTTTTAAAGTGAAATGATTGGCTGCGGATATCCTAGCGAAAATTTGGCTTGGTGGTCGGGGGATGGGAGGGAGGAAGAGATAGAGAAAGAATTTTTTTCTGCTTTTATTGCTTTATTTGAAATTTCATATATTGGAAAGCAATCTCGAGTAATTTAGGGTTCTAATACAGAGACCAGCAAAACTTTATTTTCAAACTTTTCAGTAGAGTTTTTGCAGATTTTTTACAAGAATGTAACCCCGATATTTTCAGAAAAGAGGGCATGTTAGCAGTCGTTTTGTTCTTCATAAATTACTGCAAGCTTATAACACTCAACGAAAAAAGGACAGAGGACATTTCATTATGAGTTTTAAAAAAACACCAAAATTTATAGATAGTAGCAGATTGTTCACATTATTATTCGTCTGGGTCATATCAAAACTTTTTGAGAAAAGAGCCTCTCTATTCGTCTCTACTCAGACATATGTAACTCGAATGTTTTTCATGAAAAAATGAACTAGAATCCGCCACCTCCTTTTCCAATCAAGGAAGGTAACAAGCATGCAACAATTATGGTACTACCGGTTTTTTTTTTCAAAAATCATGTCATAAGCTTGCAAAAAATCTAGAATTCTTCATTCTGAAAATTACGCAAAGTACGCGATTCTGCGAGATTTATGAGTCACGCCAAAGAAATAGGGCATTTACTATAACTTGCGGGAAAAGCTTACGGCTTATTGGACCGCAAGGCATGAAAAATTCTTTGTTAGTAGGAATGGAGTTTAAGAACTCAAACATTATGTTCTCTCCATTGTAACATTTGCAACAGCCGAAAAAGGAAAATGGAAAAAAGCAGGCTTTTTCCATCATTAATAGGCGAACACAGATGACTCAAAAGAAGAAAGGTCGGAAACGACCCATTTCGATACGGTATCGTCTGGCGCACATGTGCGAGAAAAGAAGCGATTTGTACTGAGGGCGTAATGAGGGAGGAGGGGGTGAAAAAAACTGAAGTGGTCATTAGCGGACACTGCTGCAAACGAGGGATGAGTCATGCTTTGTGCACGGGAAGATCACTCATCCCCTCCCCCCTTCACCTAGCAAAAATATCAGTAGGCAAGAAGCGAGAAGGCAGCTGGACAGAGAGGGGGAGCAAAAAAAATTATGAAGTTTTTATGGACTAGTACTACAGCTCGAATTTCACTTCATTCTCAGCTTCTGTGAGAGTGCAAGCGCAGCTGAATGAGGCATGTGCACCGCAGCGGAAATTAATCCCCTCACCCCCCTCTCCCCCCCCCCCCGCTTGTCTGCAAAGACGAGCAGTGTTGGAAATAAGCAAGTGGTCACTAAAGTGGAAGAAAGAGCTCGAACAGATTGACAGACTGGGAGCTTTATAGACCTTGCAGTGATGTGTGAGAACGAAGGGCGGAGGATGAAAAAGTAGTTTACACGTACAAAAAAAAGTAAGAACGAAGCAAGTATAAGATATCAGTGAGTCATAATGACTCAGAATACTTTACAACTTTTTTGGTTGTTCCTCATATTATATTGCTAGAAGCACAGAGAAAGTCCATTAATATCGTTTGATTCAACAGGTACAAAAATTGATTTCGGATAATCCCATGCGCTCTTCTGACACAATTTTTTTATTCTGTTCGCTAAACCTAGGAACAAAAGAAGAGAGATCTTTTTTGCTTGTAAAAAGAGAAGAAAAGAATTTTTAGATGTTGATATAAAAGTCCCTACAAAAAACTCTTTCTCTTCCTAACCACTATTTCGAAAAAAATAATTGTGAAAATTGCATCAAATTGTGTTCCAGTCCAACAAAGAATAGAAATTTTCTGGAAAAATATGTTTGCTGTCGAGTTGATGGCCCCTAGGAGTAAAAAGCCGTCAAAGCACGAAAAGAAATTAGTTAATGACAGAAACTTTACAAACACATCTATTTCCCTGTGGCCCATCCCGTTCCCGCGCTTTGGAGAAGATTGACTTGAAGTTTGCACTTTGAGAATTTTCATTAATCCACAATTATTTTGCATTCGTTCGTTCTCTTTGATTCTCCAAAAGAGAATTGAAAAAACTTCTCAAATCTCTCTAACTACGGATTTATGAGCTTGTGAGCTGAAACAACATATAAATGATGCATGTGCTCAACCATAAAACAAAGTTAAAGCCACAGACTACGACATAACCGACGCAATTCTGCACCAATGCACAGAACAATGGAATGACGACAATGTCAGGTGAAGCGCAAAAAATCGCCAGAATCGTCTGTCTAACCGAGCCATGCTAAGGAATTCCCGGAACCCGGAAACTGGCTAGAGCTTTGAGAGCCCTTGACTAGTGCCTAACAAGTGGAAATCTGCATCGTCAATGAGGCTCTAGTGAACAGACGTCGTTCTCGCTAATCGCTGCCAAATCGCCGCTATATGGCCAGTTGTTGGACGACGGCGATCGCGCTCAGACCAGTGTCAGGCGGCACCTGTCGTCGCTATGTAGTCCCAAGTCGTCAATTTATCAAAAAACGCTTGCGATCATTTTTTCGCCGGTGATTCCCGAGAACATACGAGCAATAGCACTGAGACAGAAGCGGCGCTTAATGGAGCAAAGAGTACGAACATAATGGCACCTTACCCCCTCCTCCCCCCCCCCCCCCCTCCCTCCCTCCGGCCCCTCTCGGCTCGCGGCTAATGAGATTAGGAAGCACGTGCCCAGAGGGAATTGTTCAGATTAGAAGAGACTAGGCGAGTATGTCAACAGCAACACACACTATCACTTGGGTTATTTGACATTCGTACGTGTGAAGTGTCAAAGGAAGAGAGCAACATAAAGTGCAGAAGGATGTTTTGAAGAAAGGAAATGAAAACACTTCAGCGTTAGAAAGACATGCAATCCTTCAAAACATGATAGTAGAGCCTCTGATGTAAGGCAAAGCAATCCGTTCTGAAGGCCAATCCATTCCTGCCCTCAGACAGGGTAAGCCCCGAAGAGGTCCCAAAATTCTCGTCAAGAAAGGACAATTAAAATCCTAACAACAATTTTGTCAAAAAGCTTTGCTATTAGTTATTATAAAGAGCATTTAATGCTCGAAATGTGAGCTTGCACATTGTGCATGCCACCTAGGGCTGTATCATACTCTCCCGAATTAGGCGAGAATAGGGGGTTTTACAAATATTACAAGAGCTCCCAATCGGGCGATGGCGCCTAATCCATGGCTCAGCAAAGTTTCGTGGGTACAGTTTGATTTACATGAGCGGTATTTATCAGTCTCATCAACTAATAATTTGGCGTTTTTACTGATACCGAGCGCCCGATCGGGCGATGATGCCCAACTCATAACATATCGAAATTTTGTGCGCATAGCCTGTCCGGGCAGCGGAGCGATCTACTAACTACTTCTAATTTTACTGACTTGAATCCCGAAGTCCTGAAGTCCTGAAGCGCTATTCATCAGTTTCCCGATCGGGACTCATTCATGAAGCGCCCAATCATCGCCCGATCGGGAGGCTAATGAACACAGCCCCAAGACTAAATTGTTAATTGTTTAAGCCTTTTCTCTAATGAACTACCAAAATATGTTTATGTTGATAAGCAGTCAAGGCAAAATAGAGAGTTCCGACACGAAATACTTTAGATTGGCAACAAAAATTATTCAATTTCAAACTCGTTTTCAAAGGTCGTAATATAAATGCTTTTGCGCATAAATA